GGGATGTACTTCTGCAGAGCACTGAGAGGAAAGCCAAGAACATCCGAATTCCACTTTTGAGACTTTTCCTTACAGGGTGGTAACTGGATACTGGATAAACTATTTTCCCCTTCTGGGCCTCAGTTTCTTCATCTGTAAACGAGGGATAATAATCTGCCTCTCACGGACAGATTGCCAAGTCATAGATTGCCATCCAATGAGAGAAAGTAAGCATCAGATACCTAGCCTTGGACAAAAGAAAAAGACACCTCTAAAATAGAGCTCCATACAAGTGGCTCACATCTGTAGTCTGATTCTGATCTATTCAGGTTTGAAGCCATTAGGAAGAGAAAAGTCTGAAAGACTTTATCCCCAATTAACCAGCAAAAAATGATGGACTGGAGGTAAAGCTCAAGTGGTAGTATGCCAGCTATAAGGGGATAAAGCTAAGGAAACCCTTGAGGTCAAGCTTGAGAACCTGCACACACGCACACACACAATACACACACACACACCTCTAAAATATGATAAGCATTTGTGATATTTCCATGTATTCTCTTCATCTCAAGTGGACAAATCCTTTCTCTTCTTCATACTCAGAACTTAGTAGCAAGAAACCCAATCTAGCTGGGCACCAGTGGCTCATGCCTGTAATCCTAGATACTTAGGAGGCTGAGATATGAGGATCACCTTTCAAAGCCAGCACAGGCAGGAAAATCCATGAGACTCTTATGTCCAATTAACCACCAGAAAACTGGAAGTAGCGCTGTTGCTCAAGTGATAGAGCACTCGCCTTGAGCTGAAGAGCTGAGGGACAGTGCCAGGCCCAGAGTTCAAGTCCCACAACCAAAAAAAAAAAAAATAGGAAAGAAACCCAGTTTAGTTCCCGTTTATGTCATCTCTGATAATGGGAGCTGACTGCCAGAGTGTGAGAGGGAAAGAGAAAAGCACTCCTTGGCTGGTCATGAAGATGTGGAAGAAGAGAGAATGAGAACAAGAGGGGAAGTATTGCTTTGTAATACCACTAGATAATTTCTTTCTTCTTACAGATGAGGAAACTGTGGCAGTATGTCACACTTCTTGTCTTCCTCCCATGGGTCCTTTGTTGCTTACCTCCCTCACCCCCTTTCTTCCCTTGGGTGGGGGGGCTAGGTCAGTGACAAGAAGTGTGAGAGAAGGAATAAAAAGAATGTTCAAGGAGCCAGGACCTTTCCAGGAGACTTCATAAAAATTTAATACAAAAACTTCTGCAGAATAGAAAGCATATAAAACATGCAAATCATATGCTAATAACATGCTAATCAAAAGTCTGGTCCTTGGAGAACTCTGACACACACTAGGCTATAACCCTAAGGGATATTCTAGGGGAAAGCCCTGGGTTCCAGGACAGGTGGGAATATACTTTAGGGTCAGGTTATGGAGTTAAGATTCAGTTTAGGATTGGAGGGCAGTTACATGTGAATTTGGGACTAGGGTCAGGATTAGTAAAGGTTAGTACAGATAGAGGTCAGTACAAGATTCAGACTTGGTTGTGTTTTCCATTGGGGGATCAGACTAAAGACCTCCATATTAAAAACTCAAAAATACATCAAGCTTTCAATAACATTATTTCTTCTCCTCTCTTCTTCCCACCAACCCTACTCCCACCTCCACAGCCCTTTCTTTGTCCTGCAGCACACCTTGCCTTGCTTGCTTCCCATCCTACACACCTGTGCTAGTTTAGCCAGGGGTCCAGACCCCCACCTGTACTGAGGTGTTCCCTTTTGGCTTCGGGGACCCTAGGAGCACTGGCTGGTGTTGGCCCTACCCAGATCCTTTCTCAGACCCAATGTGACAGCTGCAGGGAAAGCAATAAGGACCTGGTGAGCTGGCAGCTTCATTCCAGAGCCCAGAGCATGGGGAAAGAGCAACAGAACATGAATAAATTCATGGAGCTGGCCCCTTGGCTCCCTGTGAGCCAAGCCTGCTCCCCCCCCCTACTCCCCACCAACCACACACACACACACACACACACACACACACACTGCCATTTGCAGCCCTGCTGGTCACCGCAGCTCACAGCCTGGGCTGGGGATAGGAGCAGAGGGGAAGCTCTAGAGAGAAGAAGCCCTTCACCCGAAAAGGGCTGAGGTGAGGGGCTCCAAAAGGGGACACTGGGAAGCAGGATGAGTGGGGATGGGGAACAGGGCTGGGCAAAGAGGGAATCTGGTGAGGGAGGGAGGGCAGAGGGTAGCTGGATTTGGGGTGGATGGAGCCTGACTGAGGCTATGGCAGGGGAGGCTGATGTGAGCCTGGGCCTGCTCTCTCTGACCCATCCATCATCCAGCCTGGGGGAGCAGATCTGGAATTAGACATGCACAGGGCTGACACGGCCCTCAGCCCCCCGAGGAAGACAAATGGTGACAAAGACCTTGAATAAAATTTGTATTTATGGTTGGAGGAGGAGGAGGCCCCTCCCCCACTGACTGCCAATCCATTCCCTCCCAATCCTTTCAGGCACAGGGATCTCTCTACCCACACTGATACTGGACATAGACCCAGACTCAGCAATCTCTTCCATTCACCATTCATTGTGACATGTGATAGGAAGTGCCTGGAAGGAGTATGGGAAACTGGGAATGAGGAAATCACCTTCTACCCAACAATCATGCCCCTGTACCTTCCATTTTACATGAAATATTCCATATATCACACTCCTGGCTTATCTGGTCACCAAAAAGCCTTTGCAGCTATCCATCTATCTCCAAGATCTCCAAACATCTCCACTTTTAAGGGTCCTAGACTTCCTTTTCGTAGCTTCTGGGTTTGGGTCCCCAGAGGAGATGTAGCCAAAGGCTTTCTCAGCAGACCCTGAGGATTCTGATCTTTCTAAGGAGGAGTTCCTCAGAAATCAGATTCAATCACTTCTTACAGGCAGGAGCCTAATACCTAATCTGCATTTCAGTTATGTTACTATGCATAAACAGCCAAAAGACCATTATGTGGGGTTTAATTTCTTTGGGTTTCATCTGAAAGCAGATATTTGGGGAAGGGAGAAAGAGCCAAGATTTTAGGTCAGGGACTTGAGCAGTCTAGGTCTAGTGCAGGATGGATTTGGGCTGGGCCTGGTGGGCAATATTACAACTGACTCTTTCTTCCCACAAGGTTCCCCATTCTTCAGTCCTGAGATAAGAGAATGGACATTTCTGGGATTCCAAATTTAGAGGCCAAGAGAAAGGAAGGCATATATATATATATATATATATGCACATATATATATACACACACATATACATGCACACACACACACACACACACCTTTATATATATTCTTTCAAACAACCCTCACGCATATATATACAAAACAACACAAAATCCATAACCCCACTCACCCAGGGACACACAAGACCAGGATCCCATGGCTACCTCCATACTTTCCAGCACACTGTCACAATGCACAGGCCCAGAGCCTACCACTCTGCTTGCGGAACTGCCCCGCCCCCGCATCTTCCCTACAGTTGATATGTCACATTGGAGTCCGAACACGGACCTGGGTGTCTCTCTGCAGCGCGCCATTTACATTTCTCTCTCTCCCTCGATCTGTCAACCTGTCTCGGCTTCTGTCTCTCTCTCTGTCTCTGTCTCTCTCTCTCCCCCTCTGGGGCTGTCAGTTAGTCTCTTTTCGAAGCTTTATCTCTGTCTCTGCATCTCTATCTGGCTTTCTGTCTCTTTGATTTTTCTGTCGCTCCTTCTCTGCTTTTCTGTCCGTTTTCAGCTCCTTCCCCCAGGCGCTTTCTCTCTCTCGCTCTCTTTCTCTCTCTCTCTCTCCCCCTCCCACCCCTCTCTCCCTCTCTCTCTTTGTGACCCCCCCCCCTTGAGTATGGGGAGTCAGGAAATGCCTTTCCTATTCAGGTCAACAAGTATCCCTTGAACCCTTTCCCATATGGTATTTGGTATTCAGTTGCTGGCACCGAGAGGGTATGGGGTGATGCATTTCTTTTTCTTTCCTTTCTTGTTTTATTTAGTTTGTTTGTGAGTCCCTCATTTCCCCCTCCTTTTTTTGTTTTTTAGCTCTGCAATCTGTCTTCTCAGTGCTTGTGGCATGACCCATGTTTATCCCAGCGCTTTTTCCAGCTTCTAAGAATGCTAAACTCAGGATTGAAGCTGAAAGTAAAGATTTTAGGGTGCAGGCCAGGGATCGCTGCGGAGCCCTGAGAACAGGCAAGGAACCTAGAGGCCCGGGGCTCCGCTGGGAGTGGCGGGGGGGGGGGGGAGCCGCTGCCTGCCCCGCCCCCGCGCTTCCCACTGTGGGCGCCAGGGGTCGCTCTGCCTCCGGCCGCTTATAGTGGCTCCCGCCGCGCGGCTACCCACACCACCCGCACTGCCGCCCCGGGGAGGAAGGTTAGGGGACGCAGAGATCCGGAGAGAGCTTGCGGGGGAGAGAGTCGCCCGGACAGGGCTCCAGCAAGGGCCGCAACCCAGGCTGAGACAGGAAGGCGGGAAGCGCTTTCCAAGAGCTAGAGAGAGCAAAACCTCTGAGGAGGTCGCGTCCAGTGGACGCCAGAGCCTGGGACGTCCGGAGCACAGCAACAGTCCCCCCTCCCCTCGCCCCCTCGTCCCAGCCCCGAGCGATCTGTGATCTGGGACCCCCCCCCCCAGGATCGTGAGGAAGCAGCTGTCTGGAGAGCAAACATCCTAGACCTGTAAGAAATCAGCCGTCCAAGAAGCGGCGGACCTCGCCGCCCCTATCGGATCGGATCGTTCGGACTGCACCGGAGGGTAATAGAAGACTACGGGGGGTTTTTGAACTGTGGGACCTGTACCTGGCCCAACTCACAAGGTTAGGGGGTGGGGGACGCAGGGACCCCTGCCTTGACAGTCGGCTGGGGAAACCCCGCACATCGGCCGAGGGAGGGAGCCAGTAGAGGCAGGGAGGCCGTCGGGGGTGGGTGGAAGAGGGAATCCAGACCCGGGCCCCAGCCCGGCCACCCTTTCTCCTGGGCCCGCGGGGAGTCCCGGGCCTCCCGTCGCCATTGCGCCCAAAAGCGAGGAGGATTTGCTGGCCCTGGCCGCGTCGCGGCTGAGCCGCCGCAAGCGGGTGGCGGGCGCGGCCGTCGGGGTGGCCATGGTGCTTCTGTTGCTGGTGGCCATCCCGCTGCTGGTGCACAGTTCCCGCGGCCCGGCGCACTACGAGATGCTGGGTCGCTGCCGCATGGTTTGTGACCCGCACGGGCCCCGAGGCCCGGGCCCCGACGGTGCACCTGCTTCCGCGCCCCCCTTTCCACCAGGTGCCAAGGGGGAGGTGGGCCGGCGCGGGAAGGCAGGTCTGAGAGGACCCCCAGGACCTCCGGGTCCCAGAGGGCCCCCCGGAGAGCCAGGCAGGCCAGGCCCCCCGGGTCCTCCTGGTCCAGGCCCAGGAGGGGCCGCTCCCCCTGCCGGCTACGTGCCTCGAATTGCCTTCTACGCCGGCCTGCGGAAGCCGCACGAGGGTTATGAGGTGCTGCGCTTTGACGACGTGGTGACCAATGTGGGCAACGCTTACGAGGCGGCCAGCGGCAAGTTCACCTGTCCCATGCCTGGCGTCTACTTCTTCGCTTACCATGTGCTCATGCGGGGCGGCGATGGCACCAGTATGTGGGCCGACTTGATGAAGAATGGACAGGTGAGGTGCCCCTCCGCCGCTAGACTCCTAATTCACCCGACTGGTAGTTTCACAAATCTCCCTGCCCTCAGGCCACAACTCAGTTCCTTCCTGGAAGCAGCACCAGGAAATCCAGCAACTGCAGGCCCTTAAGAGCTCATACCTCGTTTGTTTAGTCAAGGAGGAACTGGGGAATTAGGGAAAGAGCAGTCCTCCGCCCAGGGGGGCTCACTGGGAGTATTAGGAATCAGTATTATAACAACAAGGGACTCAAAACTTCCAATCTCTGCAGCAGAGATTCACACTCCAACTACAGGCAAACACTCCAATGATAGAAAACCACACCAAATATCTTTGGTGTCTCACCCTACCAATTTTAGCTCCCCCGCCCCACCCCCAACTCTTGTCTTGAGCTGTGCTCTCTTTTTTTGAGAGGGGCAGGGGTGCCTTCTGGCCTTGATTTCCCAGTATGGCATGGGGAGAGTTATCCAGAATCTGGTTCTATGAGATTAGAATGGAATTTGTGTTTTAGTCAGCAGGCTGTAAGGGCTACTGTTGAGTGTAGGCGCATTCATCTTAGCTTTTCAAGGTGAAAAAAAAGAAAGAAAACCCTTACTTGCCCACTTGCCAGTGCTATCTTATTTCTTACTCCAGAGCGTAGGGCCAGGCTTAGGCTGGACCTTGCCCTCCAATAATACCGATTCTCAAATAATGAGCTCAAGCAGAGGTGGGAAGTGGTTAGAGTGGGAACAGTTAGGTGGTGGGTTTGGAGGAAGGAGGCAACGATGGGGACAACCTGTGTCACTGATGCCTGGTCACAGGCCCCATATCTTCCCTAACAATCTCAGCCTCCATGTTCTGCTGCTTGCTGCCCTTGAAGACAGAATCAGAGTTATTGTCCCCTTGGCTTGGGGGAGAAGCTCTAAAAAAATCTAATCTGGGGCTGGTAATGTGGCTAAGTGGTAGAATTCTTGACTAGCATGTATGAATTTAGTACCAAATAAACAGAAAAAGCCAGAAGTGGTGCTGTGGCTCAAGTGGGATAGAAGTGCTTAAAGCCTGGAGCAAAAATGAAGCTTAGGCTGGGCACCAGTGGCTCAAGCCTGTAATTCTAGCTACACAGGAGGCTGAGATCTGAGGATCATGGTTCAAAGCTAGCCTGAGCAGAAAGAAAACTGGAAGTGGTGCTGTGGCTCAAGTGGTAGAGTGCTAGCCTTGAGCTGAAGAGCTGAGGGACAGTACCCAGGCCTAGAGTTCAAGCCCCATGATTGAAAAAAAACAACAACAAAAAAGCAGCTCAGGACAGTGCCCAGGCCTTGAGTTCAAGCCTTCCCCCCCAAAAAAAAAACCCACCTTATCTGATCCAGTCAGTTGCTGATGATAGTTGGGGAGAGGCCTTAGGCTGGGGTGGAGGGAGCTGTCTGGGAAGTGCAGGCTGAAGCAAGCTGGGGCTGGGCAGTGACTCACGTGGCTTCTAGAAAGGAAGTGGTGCCTCCCCCCATATGTCAGACCTAGTCTTAGGGTTCTCTGAGCCTTGGGCCTTGCTATCTTTGCAGCATCTGTATACACGCAGGAGGACACGACTGCACAACCATCTCTGGCACATGTTTTGGGGTCTCTTCCCAGCAGAGAGTAAAAGTAGATATGTATGGGATTGAGATAGTGTGTTCGGAAGTGTGTGTGTACAGAGCAGGAGGATGTGAGTAGAGCCATGGTATTTTTCTGTATGTGGCATCTAGTAGGTAGGTAGAGTAGGTATACTTGGTACACACAGGGTGTGGGGGAAGGGGAACACAAGTGCTTAGAGTGTGTTGATTTCAGCGGGGTGGGGGGTGGCAGATAGCTTCTACTCTGTATTCCACAGAGCAGGCACTGCGGCCCTGGGGACGGTAAATAATGATTAAAATAATGATGAATAATTAATGAGTTAATAACCAGCCCGGTGGGACAAAAAGAGGGGGGCTGGGGAGGGGGCTGGCAGCCTGAGGCGAATGCCAGAGGAGAGGCCAAAAGAAAGGCAGAGCTCTGGGTTCCCACAGAAGGCACTAGCTACCACTTGACAGAGAAATGGACACCCTAGAGGCCAGGACACAACAGTACTTCTCAGGCCTGCACACCCACAGACACACAGATGCAATGCCCCAGCTCCCAGGAATGCAAATGCACATTTGGAATTTACATGTTGGTGGGCACAGCATCCTAGAAAGCATCCTAAAGGCTAATATTATTTTTTAAAGTGAGAACAGTGATAGCAACCTCTGTATAAGGGTTTCTCTAGGCAAACCACTGTTCTGATTACATTCCACATACCATTCAATCCGAACAGCCGAACAGGGTGGGCTCTATTATCCCCTTTCCATTCTCTCAAACATATACTTTATAATTCAAATTGAGACTCGAGGCCCACAGACAGCCTGACTTGTGCCCAAGGCATTCAGCGTTCAGCAGAGTGAATGGCGGTCAGCGAGGCTCTGAGCTCCCCTTCCTTCCCCGACTTCCTCCTCAGCACCTACAGCTCGCTGCCCCAAGGCTGCGCTGGAGCCCCTAGACCTGACACCTCCACCCCAGCTCTAAGCAGTGATCTTCTGAGTACATGGGTTTCTCCCCCTTCTCCCCGCCTTCCCCCAGGTTCGGGCCAGCGCCATTGCTCAAGACGCGGACCAGAACTATGACTACGCCAGTAACAGCGTCATTCTACACCTGGATGTGGGCGATGAAGTCTTCATCAAGCTGGACGGTGGGAAGGTGCATGGAGGCAACACCAACAAGTACAGCACCTTCTCGGGTTTCATCATTTACCCGGACTGAGCCAGGACCCCCCCCCCCCCATGCCCTCCTTGCCCCTTCACTCCCATCTTCACCTACCAGCAGGTCCCACCCCATCGTTAGTAAGAACTTGGCGATGGGGCGGAGCCTCCAGCTCTGGGAGGTGGCTAAAATGGCCGGATTTGGGGCGATCAAGGTTATGTGTCTGAGGAGCAGTGAGTTTAGGAAGGGACCATCTGCAGCCATGTGAGCTAGTGAAAGCCGATCCAGAGAGGGTCCTGAGGTCTTGGTCCTCTCTTCTAACTAGCGCTGGGGAGCAATCTCACTAGGCAAGCTCAGCTCAGAGGCCCAAAAAGCAGGAAGGATGCTCTGGCAGCTTGAGTGAAAAGACTAGAAATCGAAAGGAGCCCGTCTAGGTGAGAGATGTTAGGATAGGGTATCCCTGGTCAGGACCAAGACAACTTTGTCTCCGTATCTCCCTTCATCTTCATTTTAAGGCTCCAGCCTGGCAACTTTCCTATGAACTGGAAGAATCAGTGAATTCTTTCCTAGCGTTTAAAACGCATTCTGTACAGTCTCCCCTCTCCCCTCTCCAGGCTAAGTCCTGGGGCTACACAGCTACTGTTGCCTCTTCCAATAAATTGAGGTTGGGGGATTGTGTGTGTGGCTGCTTAACTCGATGCATGGTGGGTGCATAGATTGGAGGAAAAGTGGCTGACCCTCTCTAACACCCTGAAAGAACTCCCTCCCAGTTGGTCAGTTTCCATTAGTGGTAAAGGATTATTCCTTGCAAGACTGCCTCTGAGGGAGAAGGGAAGCAGGGTAGCCCAGGCTCCTGCTTTGCTGTGGGAAGGAAGGGGAAAATATTAGGCCGGCCACACTAGGATTCCAAGGGTTTTCAATCTGGTGTTCCTGCCCTCCTACATACTAGAGAGAAAGAGAGAGAAATTAAGACTGTGTGTGTGCGCGCACGCGCCAGTCCTGGGGCTTAAACTCAGGGTTTGGGGGCTGTCCTTGAGTTTCTTTTGCTCAAGGCTAGTGCTCTACCACTTAAACTGCAGTTCCACTTTTTTTTTTTTTTTTTTTGGGTCCGGTAGTGGGGCCTGAACTCTGGGCCTGGGCGCTGTCCCTCAGCTCTTCAGCTCAAGGCTAACACTCTACCACTTGAGCCACAGCGCCACTTCCGGCTTTT